AATTACAAGGAGTTAAATATATTTATATGGTGAGTGGAGATAATTAAGAAGGAAGATATTAACATAGTTGGATAACCAAGGCTTAGTAAGAAGATATCGAGTGGTGATAATAACTTTAATTTTGGAAAAACTTTAGGCGTTCAGTGAAAGAAGGTACCAATTTTTGTTAATAATTTAATAATTGTAAGAATTTCAAATTTTAGATAGATTGTTTTAAATTGATAGTGCTTATATTAGATAGATAGGTTTACTTCATAATATTTATAATAAAGATAATTTAAAAAAGTACTTACAAACTAATTCTCTGAGAACCGCGATAAAAACCCTATACTTACATATATCATTCAAATTTAATCATTGCTCTACAACAACAACACATCATAACAATTTTATATATTATATATATATATATATATATATATATATATTATATATATCTATGAAACCTAGAGCTAAGATTAATACTATTACAAAAATTAATATTAAAACTCACCAGTCTTCCAGGTTGAACCAAGTCGATATCCATTTTGCCGAGCTTTCGACATCCTCTCTGATGTCTTCCATATTGCTTCCGAGGTCTCACCTCGGGTTGGAGGGTCTTCCTGGAGGGTCTCCCGAGACTCCAGACACTACTACATTGTTCACTGATCACTGCACTGTCACTACTACTACTGTAGTCGTTCAGTACTTACAAAAGTCCTGGCATTGGGAATATTTCTGTTTGGATACTTTTCTCTGTAGCGTCTTACAGCGGCAGCAGCATTTCCCGAACATTCCCCTAATACTAAAAGTATGTCTGTCATCTCAGAATTTGAATAGTGTGCCATATTGCGGGCAAACAAATTTAAAAATATAGCAAAAGAGACATGTTAAACAAATTTCACTGTCGAGTACAATAAAAGTGTAGATAAAATAATTTCATTGTTATTAAACGTCACTGACAATTCATAGACTACTTGAGATTAAAGTGTTGTTGCTAACACAAATGTCAATTCCAAAGCATACTTGATGAATATTAAAAAACGTAATGATTACAATAAAATACATGATACCTTCGAGTTTAAATAAATCAATCTAAGGAAACAATTTTTAAAATATTTTTTTAAAATATGTAAAAATTAAAAAACATGTGACGCAATAATCCTCACTTACCCTCCAAAACTACCCTGTATTAATATAGGATGTGGTAGGTGGTGACATGAAATTAATTATCCTAATGTCTTATAATCACTCCCAAAATATGAACTCCGTATTCAAAACCGCTTGGAAGATATTTGAAAATATAAGAATTTCAATTCACCCCTTTAAAGGGTTGTATCTCCCTTATTATTCAGTTTTATAAAAAAGTGTACATAAAGAAGTACTATATATATTATATATATATATATATATATATATTATATATATATATATATATATATATATACATGTGTATTAAGTTTATTAATTATGATTTTATGTCGTTTCTGAAGCGTATCTGTCGTAGATGTTCTCTACTTTGTTATAGAACCTATCTTTAACATCCTCTTCTTTTTCCTTGGTTGGGGCATGTAAATTTATTAGACTGCTGTTAAAAAACTTATCCTTTACTCTTAGATAAGATATTCGTAGGCTTATTGATTTGAAGTCTGTGGTACGATGTTTTGTTAACAATGAATGCGGTCCCGAATTCATGATTGGTCTTGTGACAGCTATAATAAATATCACATTGTCTCTTGTGGATAATTTCTTGGCAAGTACATCTTACTTCGTGCACAGTAGTAATTTGTGCTTTATATTGAGTTAGTAGGTCTATTAATTTGTTAAGATTTTCAAATTCTTACGATTCAAGTGTACACACATTCCAAGTGTATATTTTAAAATCGTTGGCATTATTTCGTTGGCATTGGTCGTCGTCGCAAGTTCCGTCCGGTTTATTTAGCTGTGGATCTAGCAACTTTTTTTACGGGGTAGAGTTGTCATATCTTAGTTTGTTTTAGTTTGCGGGTGGTATTTTATTTCCCACTTACCCGCCGGTCCTAGGATCGGTTAGGGCATTTGCCACTCCATCACCTAGGGGTGCGTCCGACGGGAGGCAGATATCTCCTCACGGATTTTTTTACTTTTACTATTATAGAGTTATTATTAAATTGTCAGAGTTAAATTAAATTAGGTTTAAAGTTTCCTTAACTCGAGATAAGTCCCTCGAGAATTTATATATATATATATATTATATATATATATATATATTATATATATATATATATATATATATATATATATATATGTATATATATATATATATATATATATATATGTATATATATATATATTATATATATATATATATATATATATATATAGATGTTATTAAAATAAATCACATATTTTACCATGTTTTTAAATAATTGTAGCTCTCATCTGATGATGCCAATGAAAATTGGCGAAATATAATGAACTGTTGAACAAAGTGCACTTGGCTTTTAATCAGCTGTATACCCAATTAACCTCAACCCCTTTTTCATCTACTTACCAGATCAGCTGTTATTTTAGAGGATGTATATATATATATTATATATATATATATATATTATATATATATATATATATATATATATATATATATATATATATATATATATATATTAATGTTGAATAAAATATATGCAAGTAACATTTATGTTGTTTTATTTCAAAATGACACCAGATTCCCAAAGGCATCTATCTAGGGATTGGTCAAGGCAAACACAGTAAAAGTAATATAATAAAAACAAATCAAACTAATATTGTAGTGCAAGTGGTTTTATTAATAATAAATTAATTATAGGTATATACCAAGAATATACTTTATATATTTATATATACAGCACAACCAGATTCACTTTGTATTTGAGATTTGTATGTGCACTGTTGTTGATGTTCGGTTTTTCCATATTTTCTGAATTTTATTTTGGTGCTGTACAGGCATTTTACTTGGTGAGATGTTACCAAAGTAAAATTTAAAAAATTTGGAAAAACTGAATGTCAACTCCAGTTCACATCCAAATCTTAAATACAAAGTAAAACTGGTCGTGCTGTATATAAATATATTATCATTTTTTGAATGAGTTACATAAATGTGTAAATATATTATATTGCCAGAAGTCTCCTGTAGCATCCATTAACATCTTTATGTATTCTTAATCATATGGTACCCTTATCAAAAAATTTTAAATTTTCCTCAAAATTAGGATCTGCAACACAAAATAATGCTTTTTGTTTCTTATATAGCTGTAGCTTCACTTGAGCTTTGTTGCTGTAATTTCCATATTTTTGTTAAATAGTTACAAATAGTTTTCTCAGATTGAGGACATTTTATTTTAACTACAAATTCTTTAGACATAGAATCTGGAAAAGCCTCAATATTGGATGCCTGTGATTTAATTGTAACCCAATATGACTGAGTTTTATCTTTAATTTTTTTTTTCTAATGCTTTAATTACAGCATCCTCGAGCCTTTTTCCTCGAGACATGGCTTTTGTAGTAGGAAGTTTGGTTAACCAGGGAACCATCTGATTTTTTGCAGTGTGCTGCATCATATATATTTGATACAGTTATTCTTGCTTATCGCAGGTCAAACCGTAAACCGGAAATAGAATGTTCAATAGTTATTGCTGCTGCTTCAGAACATAGTTGGGAATCCATTTCCTGATAACAAAATTATAGAAATTCTGAAAAATTCAGTGCCATTTCCGAAAAATCATTTCTGCTAAAAAAATTTAACATTAATTGATGTAGTCCAAGATGTTGCAAAATTTTGTTAGGCTTGCAGTGTTTCAATAGCTGACTCTGAACATTATGTTCTTGTCCTTGGTTCACAACTTCCTGTAAAAAATGTGAGCTTTCTTCATTTTAGCTCAGTTATTTTTGAGCTCCAAAATCCTTTAAAGTTAGGTATTTAACCGAAGTTCCAACTTTGGAAAGTTTACTTTTAGCCCAAAAACAAGCAACTCCAGTTGTAGAAGGTTCTTCACTCCTTCTGTGAAGCCACATTAAGAGTGCTATGGAATGCCTACACCCACCTAAAATAAAGTAAATGCTATACTTATAAATTATACACAAAATTACTATCATTTCATACTATGTATTTGCTATCCTTTATGTTCCATATCACAATTAGTTTGGAAGCATTTAAAATGTGGACATATTGAAGAATTTCCTGGATAGATAGAATAACCAATGAAGAAGTACTAAGAAGAATAGAGTTCAGTAGGGAGATACTGGATTCCATCAAAATAAGAAAACTGCAATACTTGGGTCATATAACAGCAGCTGGTGACAGATATTAACTAAAATTAATAATGCAGGGACAGATTCAAGGAAGGAGTAGCATAGGTAGAAAAAAATTGTCCTGGCTGAGAAATCTCAAAGAATGGATTTGATACAGCTCAAATGAACTCTTTCGGGCTGTATAGTACCAAAAGTTAGAATAGGCAATAGGGTGGAGCAAAAAAAATCGATATTTTTTTTGACATGTAATACCTGCGAAAAGTTGACCCTACCTATAGTATACTTGCTGCTAAAATTTCAGTGGTAAATAAAAATATCTTCAGGGCTCTACTGCGCATCAAAAAAAGAAAAAAATCAAGAAAAATCGATTTTATTTATTTTTTACTTTTAATAAATAAAAGAAGCTGCTTTTATCGATGTTAATTATTTTCTATTATTTTAGTTAAAAATAATGTTATTAGAGCTCTATCTGTCACCTAAGTAAATATTTTGAGCAATATTTTTGGAAATAAAACAGATCAAAAATCTCATCAAATAATGTTCGTCTTACAGTTAATTTTTATTAAATAAAGCTACTAGTAAAGGCTTCCCGTGATATAATTTTTTCCTGTAAAACGTTTTTTGACCTGTTGCTAGATCGGTTCGACAAAGTAAGTAAGACAAAGTTAGCTTAATCTTTACCTTATAATGTTTTGCCAACTATAGAAAATGTTATGAAGCGATATCTACTTATTAGAAATGAACTAAAACGTATGGATTCAGGCAAGGATCCTAGTGTTCTAGTTATTTCTCAATTAGTTGCCAGTGAAATCGAAGCCATCTGGGAAAAAGCCTCAGTTCCCACTGTATCAAGCAATCGTATTATTAGATTAATTCGTGATATCCTGAGTAAGTACCAAACTCTCATCAGATATCCAAAACAAAAACGTAATGAGACTTATAATTTAAGAGTAAAAAAGTTCAGGCAGAAAGGATAAAACTCTGTGCCAAGAAAACGTTGGAGATAAACTTCATTGCAAGATAAAAACCGAATAACACATTTCATTACTTGAAGAACCATGGAAGACATTACATATTGCCACATCTATACTAAATTTTTTGAAGAATCCGGTATTTGCACAGGTAATCTTTTAGTAGTAGGCTGCGACGGTACAGCAGTAAACACTAGGAGGAAGAATGGGGTTTTACGGTTTTTAGAGACAGAACTGAAACGTCCTCCGCAGTGGTCAATTTGTCTGTTACACATGAATGAATTGTTCCTCCGGCATATCTTTCAATCTCTCGATGGAGAAACTTTTTGACCTCGTAAATACTCTGGCAAAATAGGTAAACTATTTGAGTCTTGCGAAAATTTGCCAATAATCCATTTTGTTCCTATTCATACCACTCTACCAGAATTAGATGCTGCAGTTATAAGGGATCTTAGCAGTGATCAAAAGTACTTATACGAAATTTGTCATTCGGTTTCTAGTGGAAAATGCTTGATAAATTTAGCAACACGTAATCGGGTAAATTATCACATGCACGATGGGTTACAAAGGCAAATCATATATTGCGTGTTTACGTCTGAAGTGAAAATGTGTCTTTGATTTTAAGATCTTTGGCTCAATTTGTGGTAAAAGTTTATGCGCCAGAGTAATTTAATAATAAAACTAAGCCATCGTGTAGTGAAGCAGCAAGACACGTCTTAAAAATGATTCAATTTTCACGCTACCTGAGGAACGAGTTAAAAGCCGTCATTGATCCTGTTATCAAAAGAAATTCGTAATTTTGTCATCCGGAGAACCTTCTCCTAGCAATGCTTTTTGATGATCGTCCTTCCATACGACAACTTGCCTTACACAGAATGTTGAAGACGCGCACAAAAATACCTAGTGTGGACACGAATGTAAGAGAATCTCTAATTCCTGATTTAAATTTCAATACTAGTGAATATTATGAACTTATTGATTGGAAAAATTGCTTTGTTACAATTCCTTCCCTTTTATCTACTACAACTGATGAGGATATTAGAAAATGTATTAATGGTGAAGAAATTTTTCCAACTAATTTTTTGTCATTTTCTTGTCATACTCAAGCAATAGAAAGATGTGTGAAGGTTGTAACAGAAGCTTCCAATTCTGTCTCGGCTATGACTCCAGAGATGGATTTGTTCGGGCAAGGATTCATTTAAGAGCCACATTACCTCGATTTAACACTAAGGCGCAATACACTGCATACATTTTTTAGGAATTTAAAGACAAGTAGCAGTTTAATTTCCATTTAATAGTCTAGATAATAATATTTGGTTGAACTTTTTTTTTAAAGAGAACCCGTTTATTTAGTAAATGGTTTGTTTTCTATGTTAGAGATTTTTGTTGTTTTCTATATTAAAAATTTTTATAAAATAAGGGATTTGTATTTTCTTGTCTTTTTAAATGTAGAAGACTTTTTGAAACTATAAAAGTTGGTAAAAAGACTAATAGTCAATTATATATTTAGCTACCGCGCTATTACATTAGAAAAAAAAATATTTTTTTTTGTTTCACCCTGTACAACCCTGAAGATGAAATAGTAGAAAAAAAACATGGTACTCCTCTATGCAGTAAGCAACTTATCCGCGCTATTACAATAAACAAAATTTAATTTTTTTTGTTTCACCCTGTAGAACCCTGAAGATAAAATGGTAGAAAAAAAAACATGGTACTCCTGTATGCAGTAAGCAACTTTACGCGCTATTACATTTTGAATAAAAAATAAAAAATAATTCTTCATGTTTCACTCCACCCTAATAGGCAATGATGATTGCCAATTTTCGTCGCGGAGATGGCACGTAAAGAAGACATTCCATAAACATAAACAGTTTTTAAATAGCATAAAAGACATATAAAACATTCTTTTATATTGCAAGTTACAGCATATTGTGTTTTCCTCACATTGTGTTCAGGTGTCATTTTAGCTTTAACTGTGCACACATTTTTATCCCTTCGAACTTGCATCCATCCAACAGCAGAGTCCCCATAAGAAGACCTATTAGATCTGTAAATAAGTAGAAATATTTAATAAGTAGGTACCTATATAGTTGTAAGTATTTTTGTGCCTAATATTTTTATTCCAAGTAACTAAAAATATATGGTCATTTACACTTCATATTATTGCATATTATTCATATTATTGTTCACATTATCCATATTATTCACATAACTTATTATAATGATGTTATACTTTAAGGGCGTAGGCTTAAGGGCTGATGTGTTTTACATTCATTCATTTTTTTCGAATCCTGAGATAACTAATAAGTATTTTTTTTTTTAATTTAAAAGCAGAATGAAAGAAAACATTATTACCGAGGGCCGAAAGTCCCTTAGAAGAACCAAAAAGTTTCTTTTGAATGATCCTATAATGTTTATTTTGATAAGTTACAGGGGTGAAAAATTAAGAAACAATTTAGTATGATTTTTAATTTTAATTATCTCATTCAAAAGAAACTTTTTATTCATTCTAAGTGAATTTCAACCCTCAGTAATAAAGTAATCTTTCATTCTGCGTTGAAATTTTTCAAAATACTTATTTGTTTTCTCAGAATTCGAAAAAAATAATTACATATAAAATACATGGAAAATTTTGACAGGCTCAAAATTTTGCATTCTTCTCCTTTTCTCTTAACTTTAATGGGTTTTTACTTGTATCAAAAATACTTATCGATTTACATTATACGTAGAACTATTAATTATGGTTTATATCCTACCTGTTAGTTCTAACACCATGAACTTCAGCAAGGGAAAAACTTTCGCTATTTTTGATTTAAGTCGCCACCATAAACACATCCACTAAAAATAAATTGTCAGACTGTCCCTTTAAATACCTGGCGTCAGTCATTTAAAAAAGTTTATTTTACAAAATGTAACACACTTAACGCATTTAACAGTATTAAAACTCTGAGTAAAACAGGCTAGAATACAATGGAAACGTTATCAAATCATAACATGATCATAAAAATGCAATCGTTGAAATGCAATACCAATGTATGCAATACCGTTACAGCCGCAACGTTGTAATACTTATCGTTTTTACCCGTTTATATGGACGCCCAACTAGCAGTATGACGTCACAGCTTATTCCGCTCGTTGTTAAATTCTGCAGTTTTTAATTGCATATATTTATTTCATAATAATAAAATATGAGTTTTTTTGTAAACTGGGGTTCTTTTAACAGTATTAAATAACGTTTATCAGTAATATTTCTGACATTTAATTTTTATGCAAGTTCCCATGGCTAATTGAATTAAAATTGTAAATTGGTATCTTTTAAAGTGAAATATTTTGTAAGGGTATTTTAATAGTAATGAAACATCAGATTTTATAAAAACTCAAGTTATTTTAATCAGAAATAATAATGTATATTAAAAATTAACACAAATTTGAAAACTTACAGAACTATAGTTATTGGCCATACAAACATAGTTATTGGCATATAGAATTACAGTCATTGGCCATTCGGCCATTAAGTTTTCAATTTCTTGTTGTTTTTGTGCACAAGTACCAATATGGTAGCCTCTAAAACAAAATAGACATTTTATTCCAACTTTTGATTAAGATATATTATAGGAACAAGAATAACACAATCCTGAATACAAAAGGTTATTTACGGGTAAGTTGGTATCGTCTTATTGTTTCACCGTTATATCTAAGAGAATTTGTATTTTTTCGTGTTCTGGATATCCTTCAGCTTCAAAAAATAACTTTCTTCTAGCCGACTCACCAGCACGTTTTTCTTTGCTGGTTTCCAAATTTGTATATTTGCTTTGGGATGTATTCTTCAAATTTGATGAATTCATATTGTTGCAGACATAAAAAAATATGTTATCAATTGTGGACAGATTAACGTTTTCCCATACAGAATCAGGAAATTGGTTTCGTGACAATTCTTGTTTTTCTTTAAGGACAATAACATCTGGTATATGTACTCTTACTCCACTTTTCAAAGAAGTGCTTTTAATTGTATGATCAATAAGTGTGTCTGCTTTCAAAATATTTATATCTGCAATATTAACTGTATTTACTGTAACATTTTCTTTATTTTTCACAAGAGTTTGGCATTTTTTGCTCCCAGAATTGATTCTTGTGGCAATTTTTTTATTACTTTTATTTTGGTTTCCCTGTTTTTTTGGCCTTTATTGTTTGCTTTTGCGTTAATTCACTTTTGTTTTCATTCTAATTTTATTTTTTCTTATTCTGCTTTTTCTTCAACTTTACGCCTCTCTACATTTTGACGACTTGAAGAAGTGAGCACGAAAGGTAACCTTTCTCTTTGCTTTTTGCCCTTTTTTTCTGGGGTTTTTGGCCAAAATAAGAATTTGTTGATTGAGGTGTCAATTTCTTTAGATAATGAGTTGTCTTGATTAACTAAAGGCAGATTATTGGATGTCGATTGAATATCTTCTGTCATTGTATCTTCTGTGACATCTTTTATATTATATGTAATATCAACGTTTTCTGAAAGCTGAACTCTAAAATCCGAAAGTAGATTTTCTTCTGTAATAACAGGAATATCTTGTAAGTTGCATATGATTTCATTGCCACCTACAGGGTTAAGTGTAATATCTGAAGATATATGGGTTTCTGTGATGATATAGGTATATATATATATAGGTAGATCTTGTATATCATTTGTGATTCCACCTGTCTTTGTAGTCGGAATTGTGGGTAGATTTATGGTATTTTGAAATAAATTAAATATATTAATGAGCAATTTTCAATCTCCATTTAGCTCTTCGCAATTATCCAAAATTTAGATATCTAATATTTTTGCGGCTCCAACTGTGTCTACAAAATCTTCATATGTTATTGATTTTGTCATAGAAATAGTATGATTAATACCTTTATTCGGGTCTTTCATCTTTCCTAAAC